AAATTACACGTATAATTAATATTTTGTGTCTGACCAAAATGGGACATTACTCCTGATACCAAAATTACATGGATGATGTAAATATTATGCCTGACTAAAACGGGTTTATACTACTAATAACAAAATTCCATAAATTTAATGTATTGTGTCTGATTAAAATAAGCCTTTACTACTGACACTAAAATTAGAAGAATTTAAATTTTGATGTCTAAAACTTTATTCTACTACTGAAACTGAGGTTGCACGCATGCTCCAAATATTATGTCTGACTAAATCTAGACTTTACTACTGATACGAAAACTTTAAGAATTTGAATTTTTATGTCTGACCAAAACTGGACTGAACCACTGATACCAAATGTTACAAGAATTTAAACCATCATGTCTGACTAAAATTATATTTTACTACTGATACTAAAGTTACATAAATTATAAATCTCGATGTCTGACTAAAGTTATATTTTACTACTTATTTTAAAGTTGAACGCATACTCCAAATATTATGTCTGACTTAAACTAGACTTTTACTACTGATACGAAAATTAAAATAATTTGAATCTTGATGTCTGACCAAAACTTGACTTAACTACTGAAACTGAAGTTAATAATAATTCAAATCTTCATGTCTGACTAAAACTAACTTTTACTACTGATACGAAAATTTCAAGAATTTAAATCTTGGCGCCTGACTAAAACTGGACTTTACTACTGATTACTAAAGTTACAAGTATAATTGAAATATTCTGTCTGACTAAAGCAATATTATACTACTAATCTCAGAAAATTTCAAAGTATTAAAATAAAATGCAACGCTATTAATATAATATCAAATTTGATAAAAATAAAGAGCATGAAAATAAGAACGTTGCATCTTATTTTAATACCTCCCAATTTTCTCATTTACCTATATCAAATTTGCAAGAATTGAAAAAATTTCAGTCTGCTTAATTTAAAGAATTATTATTGAAATGATTTGTAATAATTTGAAATTAAATTTTAAATAATGGAAATAATATTTCGAAATAATTATAAATTCTTGTATTATTGATATAATTATTATATGACGTATTATATTGATTAGATAAATAACAAATAGTAAGTAAATATTTATATGGAAGTAGATAAATTAATAAAATACTATTAAAATACTAATCAAATATTGAAGTGGATAGTTTCGAGATAAATATGTGATATAAGGGGGCAATAATGACAATAAAAGTCGAGGGTAGGTCAGTATAAAGTTTGGTCACCCGTTACATGAAAATTCACCCCTAAGTATATTCATTCCCCAGTAAGGAATTCTACCCTCCCTTTGCCGCACCCTAATATAAATATTATTACACTTTGATGGGGTTAGCTTGACACTCGTCCCCCCACCCTTTAAGATATAGAAAGCATATATATAGTGTATTGATAACTAGGACATCTCCTTTATTTTCTTTATCATTATTTTCAAATACCAGGGAGCACGTGTCTTTATCAACAAATACCTGAATGAAAACCTCTTTCTATTTTGACTAAAAGGTAATTGTTTTCGCACAATAAATACCTTCCACTTTAAAAAATTATTAAATTTTTTTTTAATTACTTGAAATAGAAAATAAAATTATTTTAGTAAATTATTGTAGGAAATTAATTTAAGGTAAAAGCACTAGTAGCTAGACAGAGCAAAAATTGGAACCAGTAGATGGACAGTAGCAAAAAGAAATTAAAATAGCCCACAAATTAAGTAAAAAAAAATTTGAAATACTCTTTAGATAATTAGCTTTTAGGCAAAATAAAATTTATTAATTGTAGGAGTAAAAAAAAATATATAAAACAATTTCTCTAAAATTGCTGTCCAAGTTAACCTACCGCTTTAATATGTTGTACCCAATAGTTGGACAAAGATTTAATTCAATTAACTCAATCAGTTTAATTAATTTAATTAATATAATTAGTTTAATTATATTTTTAGTTCAATTATTTAATTTATTAAATAATCAAAATAACTGAATAAACAAATTATTATTTAATTTACTTATTTAACGTCCAACTACTACGGCTTTTGAAATACCATATCCAACTTCTGCTGCAAATGTGCAATTTCATTATTTCATGATTTTAATTTAATTAAAACATCTATTATTATTAATTTTGTCTAATTAGTATTTTTTAAAGGTAATTAAAACGAAAATATAAACATTTTATCAATTATATTGAATTATCTTAGTATAAAAGACAAATAAAGAGAACCCTTCAATAGCGTCCAGGTACTGGTGCTTTTACCTTAGGAAAATTATTTAAAATTACAAAATATTCATAATTTTATTCCTATTGAATAACACATGCGTTTTAATGAAAAAGGCTTCACCATGACGCATAAAATTTGGGACCAGAATTAACATCGAAAAAATGATAAAAAAAATTTTTTTCATATAGTATTTAATTCTACTCACAGAAAATTAAAAGGCATTAAAATAAGCTGTAACGATTATTATTTTAATCCAATTTTGCTTATTTTAATCCATTTTGGTATTAAAATAAGCAAAATTGGATTAAAATAATAAGCGTTGCAGCTTATTTTAATACCTTATAATTTTCTGTGCTAACTTAAACAATAAGAAAATGACAATAATAAATTAATTAATTACTGCATTTCAGTAAAAACATAATTTCTAATTTTATAAACGAGGACAAGCTTCACCAGGACGATTTGGCTCTCTAATTTACATTAAAAAAAAATTATAATTATATAATAATAAAATGCTTGGTCTGTCCTTCTGTCCTAACTTGAAGTTGGCCTTTTCTGATTTCACGTGTTTTTTTGAATAGTAATCTTATGACGTGTCAAATTTTGACAATTCTTTTTCTCATTTTTGCCAAAGTTGTATAATTGTGTTTCCAAATTTCGGAATAAGTTTCTTTAAAATTCCAAATTCGAAAATCCAATTCACGAAGCTGAAGTACACAACGTTTACCAACGAAATTTTTTTTAAAGTTGTATATTGATTCAAAAATTGTATACAAATACAAAATGTTTATGATGGAAAAAAAGATGCGCCAGGAAATTTCGTAAAAGATAGTAATTTGAAAAAAATTTATTTTTAAAAATTAATTTTTAAGGTACCAGGGGCCAACGAATACCTGTTAAATATTAAATATAAAAACACAGGCCTCGAATCAACTTAATAACACAAAAAGTCGTTTCAGTCGATTTATATTCCAAAAAAAGTGGATTTGTTTTTTATTTTAACAAAAATATTTTACAGATTTTTAAATAAAAATTTTTTTTTAATAATAATCCTTTTCGAGGGGTTAAAGTTGAAATTTTTAGAAATAATTAAATTTCAAAAGATATTGTTAATTTTCAAACAATTATTAAATTTTACAGAACTAAAAATAATTTATCAAACAATTTTAGGAAAACATTTTTTAAATTTAATTGAATTTTCAAAGATTAGAAATCGAGATTTTTGAAATTAATTGAAATTTTAAGTGATTTTTAATTAAAATTTTAGATGATTTCACTACAAATTTATTAGAAAATGCTGACAAAATACAATAATTTGAAAATCATTTTTAATTGAAAAATGGTTTCAGATAGTTGAATTTTCAAATATTATTAAAATAGTTAAAAATAATTGAATTTTCTTAGAGTTATAATTGAAATTATTAAATTTCAAAAAAAAAAAATTTTCGATGGAAAATTTTAGAAATAATTAAATTTTAGATGCTTTTAAATTCAAATTATTGAAAATTCAATTAAGTTTGAATTCAAATTTTTGAGAATAATGAAATTTTATTTGATTTTAAATTTGGAAAATAATTGAATTTCAGTTCATTTTGAATTGAAAATTTTGGGAAATAATTGAATTTTAATTGAAATTTTGGATAATAATTTAATTTAAGTTCATTTTTGATTGAAAATTTGGATAATTAATTTTGAATAGAAATTTTAGAAAATGATTGAATTTTATTTCATTTTAAATTGAAAACTTGGTAAAAAATTAAATTTTAAATTCAAAATTTTTGATAATTATTGGATTTTTAATTGATTTTGAATTAAAATTTCGGGTAATAATTGAATTTTAGTTTATTTTGAATTGAAATTTTTAAAAAATAATTCAATTTTATTGTGATATTTTTTTTTTAAATTATAAACAATTGTTAAATTTCATAAAAATTTTAATTGAAAAATAATTTTGATATAATTGAATTTGTGATGTATTTCATTAAAATTATTAAAAATAATTAATTTACTGAAGAATCATTTTAGTTGAAAATTTGTTAAATAATTGAATTGAAGAAGATCTGAAGAAGATCTACATTTTATACTAAAAAAAGGTATTTTATTTACATTTTTTTTTCAAATGTAAAAAAAAATGTCGCATTTTATTAAAATAAGTCGATAAAAGTCGTATTTTTGAAAAAAGTCTGAAAAAATCGTATAATCCGAGGCCTGTAAACGCATATAATTTTCATTATTATCATTTAATATGTATAATAATATTGTAATAAATTAAATTATTATTGATAATATTAATCTTTAATTTCTTTATAACAAACAATTAAATACTCAATTTGGCGCGCTTGCGCGCGTTTAATTTTGCTAGTGTTATGAATAAAAGTGGCTATTAGTTTTTGTTTGTAACCACAGAAATTAATTTTCCACATTGAATTTAAAAATAAAATTATTATTATTATTATTATTAAATTATTATTTAAATTATTAAATTTAGAGGAGAAGGATAAATAATTTTGACGAATGTTCTTCAGTAACAATGACATATTTAATAACCGGCTCAACAATGTTACAGTGTCATAGGTTTTTAATTACATACGCAATTTCGATATTTTTGTTTTTCATTAAATATACATACATACATGAGTGTCCATGTGCGTATCATGTGTCGCTTTGTTAAAATGATCGTATGTGTATATAATCAGTGTGTATGTATAATATGTGTGTGTGTGTGTTTGTGTGTGCTTACCGAATTTCTTAAATTATATATACTCGCATTTTCTTTTTTTTCTTTTTTTTTTGTATTGCACACGACAGTATGACATAGGTTAGATATTAATTCTTACTATTTTCTTTTTTTTTACGTGGGGATAAGATATGTGTGACACGTGTGCGGAAAAACAATCACTGCATTGGCCGATATATTTAACCCACTATCTCACAAATACTTTTCTTTTTATTTCCACTAATTATATTTTTGAGAATATCTATCTACGACTACTTTACACTTTTAATATATATTTTTTCTTTTCTTTTTTTTTCAATATCAAATATTCTTCTACTTCTAGATTTTTATATAGTATACAAATTATTATAATAACATTAGAGTAGTAATTAATATTACATGTATAAATTATTGTCAATTAAAATAGAAAAAGAAAAATGTAAACCTTTTTTTTTAATGAAGTACAATATCTTTATATATATATAGTCGATTATATTTGTAAGTTTTATTGTGAGTTAGTGGGTTATTTTTTTTTTTCGCCTGACTGGAAGTATATGTGTGAAAAATCATTACGGTCATCTAGAGTTAATACCCTAGATCTAAATATTTCAATGCTATCTATACTTTCCCTGTGCGACGAGGGTCGTTCTTTTATTTTTTTTTTTAAATCAGCCCAGTTATTTTGATTTCCGCGCGTCGCGTCCTCTACGAGAGATACTTTCATCGTTGACTTTCATTATTATGGCAAGGATATAAACCTTTCCGAACAAATAAAAAGGAGCTTTTATTAAACAAACTTATAGAATATATATATATTTTTTCAATAAAAACTTCACGCTAGCTAAACACAATATTGCGCCTTTATTTATTTTTTTTTATCATCGCATAAATTTACCTTGAAAAATTGCTTGTTCAGAAAAAATGACAGTGATTTTTTTTTTGGTGCTCAATGACAAATTATTACAGAAGATCGAATTTTTTGAGTCAAAAAAACTTCCTTTGATTTAAACATTTTTTTTAATTGGAAGAAAATTTTTTTTATAGAAATATGTTTTAGTTCGCTTTTTATAACAGAGAATTTATTTTACAAAAAATTTACTCTTAGAAATATATTTACCGCACTTATTTTAGAATATTTTATTGCAATTTATTTTCTAAAAAGAAGAAATTTTTTTTTTAAACAGATGCCAAGAGTATATAAAAAGTAAATTTTTTTTTGTTTTCTTAAAAAACAACTGATAATTTTAACGAAATTTCTTTATAAATGCTGAATCATTTTTCTGAATAATCAATTTTTCTAAAAAAAAAAAAAATTCGATACATTTGCGTGTATGTTACAAGGTAGGCGAGTGCAAATGCAAGTCATCATACAGAGACGTTTTTCAATCCCTTTACTTGTAATGATAATTTTATTTTGACAATATTTACAAGAGATAAAAGAAGATAGGATTACTTATAATATATTAAATATTATAATATAATATTATAATATATAATATTTGTCTATCTATAAATATATATATATGCATTATATTGATATGTATGTATGTACTTGTATCTGCAGCTTATAATATTCGTATCATGTTTTACATATGTATGTATAATTTATTCCTGTAACTGTTTAGCATTTTTCATATGCACCAGGAAAAAAGTAATCTCATTTTAAGAGGAAAATTCCTCTTTTTATTGAATTTTTTTTATTATCCTCTCATAATGAGAGTAAATCCGTTTAAAAATAGAATTTATTATTTTTTTGAAAGCGGTATTCCTCTTCGATTAAGAGTTCGGGTTTAGAATTTTAAATGAATCAGCTTTTTTTCAATATGAGAAAATTTTTGAAATGGTAAAATTAAAAAAAAAAAGAAAAAAATTACATTAAAATGAGAGGAATCCACTAAAAATGAGGTTTACTTTTTTCTGGGTGTATATTTCGATCGAATTCATTCTTCTTTTTTTTATACTTGTGGTGACTACGATATTAGAATAATACACTGATAATACGGGAGATAAAAATATCTACAGACTTCTACGTGGAGTCAAAGTTTTCGGTATTATATATATATATTTTTCTCTCTTTTACTATCCCTTAATATGGAGGCCAGCTCATTGGAATCGTGAATCTCAAGAAACGGCAAATTACTCACACATTCCATTCTTTCCTTATACTTGTATAAATCGATCTATATGAGCGCAAAAAAAAATTGCTCAGTATGCGCGAAGCTATTTTAATTAAACTATATTTTTAAGGAGAGGTTTTTTTTTTTATAGATTTAGCAAATTATTCATATATAGCGGATAAGAACTCTTAAAGTCAGGCACTGTAAACTGAACGCGTTCAACACGATATTTTTTTTACTTATTACGAGTAAATAGATATAATTGAAATTCTTTTTGTATTTTTTTCCAAAATTAGCTTTTTGGTTCTTGTTTTTTTCTCTTTTTTTTGAATTTTTAAAATTTTTGTACTCTCGAATTTTTTTTTTCCAAAGTGAAACCAATTTAATTTTTACTCCAAATACTAAATTTTGGTTAAATTAAATTAATTTAAAAATAAATAAAAATTTTTAATCAAATATTCAACGGAATTTAAATTAAGTAAAATTAAAATTTTTACTTTTGTTTGAATAATTTAACAACTTTTTTTTTAAAATTGTTACATTGAAATTCTATTAATTTGTTTGGAATATTTTTCATGTAAAATATTTAGAAGAATTGAACAATTACAAATAGATTATTAATACATAGTTTTTTTTTTGTGTTAATAATTTTAGTAATTGAAAAATTATCGGAATATATGTACTCTATAGAATTTTTTTTTATTTTAAAAATGCCCAAAATAATTTTCTTTTTAAACAAAGATTTTCTTTTTTATTTTAATTAATTTAATGCGAAATGTTGTTTATTTCGCGATTTTCTTAATTTATTGACTATTGAAGGTAAGAATATTAATATTACTTGACTTATTCGTAACAACTGACTTTTGCAAAAACTTTTAACGAATCAACTTACATTTCAACATATATTATTTATTTTACATATATATAATATATCTTTTTTTTATATTTATTATGATGCTTAAAATTAATTTTTTTATTTGTATTTTTCGACAGGTAATTAAGCAATCAAAAAAAAAAAATAATAAAAAATGAAAAATTTCGAAATAAAAGATTTTTTTAAAAATCGCGTACAAAATTTTATTTAATATTATATAGGCCGTTGCATTTAACGAGCATTTTTATTTTAGTTTGATAAAATTTGAAAATACGACTATAGCAGTACATATATAGAAACAAAGTTTACAATTAAAAATTTTTTTTAGAAGAAAAATTAAAAAAAAATTAATTGAATAAATTTGCAAAAGTTTAATATATTACGTTCAAGTCTCAATAAGAGATATGATAATATATATATATAAGTATATATAGTTTAACATTTAAAATACGCCTAAAAGATACTAAAAATATTGCGCACCTTTTGAATTCGAGTATATAAATGAAATTTGAACAAGACGGAGAATAAAATTAAAAAAAATCTCTATAAATTTTATAATTGGAAAAGGATATTCACAAAAATACAGATATGTTCCTCTCAAGATATGCTAAATTATCGCGATTATATTTAATTATACATAAACACGACGATACTTTCATAATGCCCGATTTACAATCATTATTATTCATCCAATTAAAAGGAAAAAAAAAAAAAGTATTTTTCTTTCTTTTATTTAAAAATAATTTTCTATTTGATTAAAAAAAAGTATTTGAAATAGATATTTGACCTGAATTCCTTTATCTTTAGTAAATGTAAAGAAAATATGAATAAGAAATAAAATACTTTATTCATTCGTATAAAAAAAAAAATTCCCTAACATAAAGTTTGTCTTTGAAAGTTTCTTTGATATATAAACTCTGACTGTCGTTAATAAATTCTTGATAATGAAAAGATATATATTTTTTATGCGCAATAAACAATTTTTTTTTATGCAATTATATTTGAAATATTAATTATTGAACTAAATTTTAATATTTTGCAAATTATTTATATTCCAAAGAAACAAAAAAAAAAAATTTAGGTATTCATTTAATTACGCGTGTACAAAAAATATATTTTTTATTTTTAAATTAAAGAATTTACTTTTTTTTTGAAAACATTTTCGATTAGAATGAATTTTTTTTTTTTTTGCTATCAGTTCACAAATATGTCAATGACTATATATCACTGTCGCGATCGCTTTTTTTTCTTATTCCCTAAACTTAACGACTTATATTCTAGGTTTTTGGATTCCCTCTCAGGAATCCTGATGATATGTTATCTTGGTTCAGCAACGAATCGATTAAAATTAAAATCTATAACGAAAACAAAATTTACTATAACGGACGAGAGTCCCTTGCTGACTGGGAGCCATCGTTTCACGTTTTTCTAGTAATTATATTTTATATAATATATAATATTTGATATATTATACATTATATATAATATTATATTATATTTATATATATATTTATATTTATATCTGATCCTCTATAATTTGCCTTGAAGTTGTATAACCACCACAACCTTTTACTGTCTCCCGATTGCAACCGTTTTTTTAAACAAAGCGTAGTTTTTTTTGGTCAGCACCATATTCGATTAGAGATCATCACTTTATTTGAACTTTCACACTTAATTATTTTTTTTGCTAATTTTTTTCCTCTTCTAGAAAGCTGTTGTTATTTTCCGCTTCCTTCCCGTGGATCATAATTTTTAAAAAAAGTATTTGAAAAATAAGTTTTCTATTTTTTATATTTCAAATTCCTATATTCTTTCTACCGTAATTATTTCGATTTTTTTTTCTTGTTATTCCGTTTTTGTTCTTTAATAATTTTTTTGTAATTCGACAATTACGAAAATTTTTCATATCATTCTTTCATTTTTCAAAATAACGAATTAAAAGAGAAATTCAATTTTCATTTTTATGATCCATATATTTTTATCTACAATTTTAAATTTTGAATTAGCTTTGTAATTTTCTACTATTCCTTGATGATCTTGATTCCATTTTTTTTCTTGATGACCCTCATATTATTATTATTATTATTATTATTATTATCACCTAATTCCGCACTCGCAAAAAAGAAAAACACTATTCATTGTCATTTTAACTAGTTAATAAATCACAATAATCCTTTGTTGTCTTCATCGTCACAACCCTTCTCCCTCACCGATTTCTTTCACATCACGAATTCATTCACGGACACACGATTTTAATATTAAGGCAAAATAAAAAAAAATCCAACCAAAAAAACCAGAATTTTATCAATTCGCGCACTCGTGTTTCTCGGAATTCGCGAGAAAGTGTGAGAAAGAGAGAGAGAGAGTAAGAGCGTTTTCTGGATGATGATTTTTGGAAGCCTGCCTTGAAGACTAGTCTAGGACCTCGAATTGATCCTTCAGCGAATAATAATAATAATTTTTTTTTTTCAACAGTCGGAAATGGTCTATAAGAAGACTCATTTGCTCACTTTTTTTTTATAGTCAGCTATTGTAAATTTTTGTTTGTGTTTACTGGAACATTCCAGCTCTGAATGGATTACTGTCACCACCAGCTGGCCTCGAATCTGGTTCCTGTGCTTTCCTAAATGGATTAACTTCAGGTTGTTGTTGTTGTTGTCCTCTCTGTTGGGATTGGTCGTATCCTCTCTGCCCTCCATAACTCGCAGATTCATCATATCCTGATGATTGTTGTTGTTGCTGTTCATAAACATAACCCTGTCCAGATTGTTGACTATAACCGCTCTGATAATCCTGACCATATCCAGTTTGATTATATTGTGTACTCTGATAATTTGGATCCTGATCAATGTTCGTCTCCATTCGACCTTGCGTCAAATGATTACCCACCTCACCTGTAATTGGCCTTTGCTCCTGCAATGCATACGTTTGATATTCCTTGTCAGGTGGATCTTGCATAAGAACATTCGCCTCATCCTGGAAGGGTTTGAAGTCATAGATGTGCTTTAGATTATAAAGAACCGGCGCATAAGCAAGATTAGTGAAAGCAATGAAGAAATTAAGTGCCGTAAATCCAATAGCTTCGACAACACCACCGGCAATAATTGGACCCACAGCATAGGCAACACTGTACGAAATATCAGCAATTGCGTAAATACTTCCGTACACCGAGACGTATCGCACGTCCACAAGATAGCCAAGTGTTGGTAAAAGTGCCGTGTCAATGAGGGCAATTCCAAAACATATGCCACACAATGGAATCATTAGCATTTTATAGGATGTAGAAAAGGGAATAATAAAGCAGCAAAGTCCCTCGAGTGCTAAACCACCAGCTGCCATCAACCACTGATGCTGGGGATATTGTTTAGCCATTTTGACAGTGATCATAACACCAATGACATGTGGAACAAAAGCCGGTAACCAAATCATTCCCATTTTCCAATTGTCATGGGTAATGTGATCCGTCATCCAAAGCGATATTGTTGGTTCAAGAAAAGCGAGCGCCACATTTGACATCATTAACGCTCCCGCGCAAACTGCAATATACGGATCCAAAAGAAGTCTCCAAATAGGAATACTCGGTGGTTTATCACGATGACTATTGATGATTTGTTCCTTGATTGGTTTCATCACCAATAGCAACATCATTCCATCGGCGAGACTTACAAAAGCAAGAATTAGAAACGGTACTTCCTTGCCTGCAAATTGATACAATGAACCACCAAACGGTGGTGCTACCAAACAACCAAAACTGATGAAAGCCAAAGCAATGCCAAGTGCTTTTGTTCTCTCAGCTTCCTCGGTGAATCGATCAGCGATCATTGCAAGACCGGCAGTGTCAGCGAACGCAGAGCCAACACCCTGAAGACTCCTAGCGAAAAAGAGAACACCATAGCTACGACCGCAGGTGAAGAGTGCCGTTGAAAGGAATAAAATTGTTAATCCAACCAACATGGGCAAATCGTAACCGATCTTATCGATAAGAGCACCAGAGAAGGGATTCACCATGAGTTGAACTATTGCTTTTGAAGCAAATAATACACCTGTTGCTCTATCCTGACCGTGATGTTCTTGTGGTGTCGTCGAATTCGCATAATCACTGTCATCTCCAAAGGCACCGATATACTTTAAATAATCCGGGATTATAGGCACAATCACCATATAGAGCATGTTGTCCAAAAGTAGCGCTATGCAAACAATCACAAGGATCAATTTCCGTTGAGCTTTAGGCTCTTCGAGTTTCTCGAAAATCATCTCCTTCAGCTCCCTAACGCTGATGTTGATCAAAGGAATATTGGTATCCATTTTGTTGATTTAGGTATTTTTTTTTTTTTTTTTTAATCAGATTAAAATCAAGATACCTTCTTGATTAATATGAGTTAAGCAATATCATCTCGTGCTCCTGGAGCAATCAGGCCGGGCCAGGGGTAACCTACAACAAATCACCGTCACTCGGTTAGCGAGTATGAAATTAAAGGCTCAAATTTTTATTTTTTTTTCAAAATTTTACTCCATTATTTTCTTGAATGAGAAACGAGATTTTTTTTTACTTTTGGAGGAGCCCTAGCCCGGCCTGGTGAGCGCAATTTCTTTATTTAAAAAAAAAAAAAAAAAACAAAAAAAATTTTGGTGACTCTCACCCAACCCCAAAAATGTCCCACGATGTCGCAATCACTGTACGAGTCAAAATTCTTTTGACTAGATAAATATAATTTTTTTTTTTTTTTTTTTTGTTCTTCTGTGGAGGAAATTCAGGTGTTTTTTTTCCCCTGTAAGGCCGCAGCACCGGGTGAAGGCTCCCCCCGTGTACTCGTAATAAAGTAATGGAGTTTTGTAAAACTGATCATGAATAATATTATTGATTTTTTTTTATATATATGGCCATGAGATAATTAATCACTTCTAAATATATAAAATATGGACTACAAATTTTTTTTTTAATTATATATAATGAAAGTAGAGAATTAAAGGGATTTTTTAAAAACTAATTTTAGATTATAATTAATATTTTAAAATGTATCATAAATTGCAGTTGGGATTTATTGTAAATATTGGTGGAAAAAAATAATTATAAAATTTTATAAATGTGCTAAAAAGCATAGTTTTTATGGCAGAAATTTTAAGTATTAAAAGAATTTGAAATTTAGTTTTTTGATTTTTCTAATGTTTAGAATTTCTTACATAAAAATTTTGTTTTGTGTACTATTTCTAAATCGTTAAATATTTTTACAAAATTTGATATTTATATTATTATAATTATTATTATAATTATTATTATTATTATTATTATTTATATTATATTATATTATTTATATTTTATTATGTATTATTTATAATATTTTTATTCATTTACAATATATTTTTTACCCCTAAATCTGCACTAAGAAAAACAATTGGTTGCGATTACCATTTCGTTAGTAAGAGTATTTTTGCTAATTTATATTAGTTACTGTTACCATATAGTTAATGAGCCTAACCATTTCGTTAGTAAGATAACTAATTAAGTAGTTATGCTAACAAACTAATTAGTTAGACCAACTAATAAAATAGTTATGCCAACCAATAAAAATAGTGATCACAACTAATAAATTAGCAGCAGTAAATTTATTAACTAAAAATGGTAATCATAACCAATCTTTTTTCTCAGTGTGAATTAGTGAAAAGTTGTCTATTAATTCAAATTTGTAAAAAAAATCTACTAATTTTTAGTAAATTATTACTACTTGATTTAGTAGTCAAATTTTTTACTTTTAGTTATTTTTTTACATTTTAGATTTAGTGAAGAAAAAACTAAAAATTGGTGAATATTTTTTTACTAATTTAAATTATTAAACGACTTTTTACTAATTTGAATTTAGCAAGCATTTTATTTATTTTAATCTTTATTGTAATTTATCATCTTTAATTTTACAGTTTTTATTTATTTAAATAAAATCAAATCCCACAATATAATTAATTTATATCGATTTATTGAAGAAATAGTTTTATTAATTACCAATATTAAATAGACAAAGCGAATTATATAATTTGTTGTTCGAATATAATTATAAAATCTAAAATTATAAAAAATTTATTTTCGCCCCTAAAACAACGCGTAAATATTCTAAAATTGGGACAATGGGAAAATGTTAATTAAACATGACCATATTAATTATAAAGTTTACATATTTTTGAAAGACATGAAAAATTTTTACATAGTCGAAAATATAGTATTGAAAATATTAAATTATATAATAGTAAAATATAATGTATATAATATATTACATTTATTATTATATTACATATTATTATTATATAAATATAATATTATATATAGTTTGTTATATTATAAATTGATGATTAGGAGGTTAAATATTTTTGATCGGCCTTGAACGATTAGGAAAAAAAAAAATTATAAATATTAAATTTTTTTTTCTGTTTTTTCAAAAACTTACCGGAATTGGTGGCAAATTTTTGCCGGAGGGAATTGGCGAAGCGTTGGGGACCCGCGAGGGTCGGAAGTCCGGATAGCAAACCACTCAAAGTGGCGGCTACGTCCGGCCCTTCTTCTTCTTTCGAGTCGTTCGCCGACTCTTTAGTTCCTCTCGACCCTGGACCCTCCACCTTTCCAGCCGAGTCCTCTACCGAGCCTGAAATAGAGAAAAAAAAAAAAATTCTTTTATTAATTCATTTGTCAGAGGAAATTTAATTAAAACAGAACTTAATTTTTTTTAAAAATTCACAAAAAGCACATTTCTTTAGCTTGAAAATTATAAATATAATTAATGGAAAATTTTATGATTGTGGTTTAAAAAAAAAAAAAAATTGGACCAGTGAAAATTATTTGTTTTTTGAATAATTTCTCATATAGTGGAAAAACATCTTTAGACATAACCTGCTTGTTTATTGGGGTCATTGAAATATATCGATTTACAACCTATGGATAAAAACGTCGAATTTTTTATTAACCTCAGTTCTGATGTATTTAGAGTAAAAAGTTTTTGCTTCCCCTTGAAAGAAAGTTTGACCGATTAGAATTTTTCACAAAGAATAAATAATCAATTATTAATTTTTTTTAATAATTATTTATTCAAAAATTATACAAAAAACTTTTTACCTATCAGGAGTGTAATTTAGTTTTAAATTTTCATTTCAAATAAATTAGACAAATTTTAATTCAACAAAAGATGAAGTTTTCTGAAATATAATTTAAAAATATTTAAATTTTAGTTTAGAATAAAATTTTTTTTGTTGAATTTCAAAATGAAAAAATAATTACACAAAACTGTATTTGCGATAGAAATTATTATTTTTAGCTGAAAATCTATAAATAAGAAAAAGAAAACTTAATGAATATCTTATATATTTGAGTAAAAAAAAAAAGTGAGACATTCATGTGTACAATTTTCTCAAGGTCGTTCTACTTTAGATACTAATAAAGCTATTCGTGGTATATAAACAGAGAGTGTATACTTATAGTTTATCTACCGCCTCTTTGCTTTCCAAGCACATGCACTCGGGAAACTTGATCCTTATCCCTTATATTCGATAAAAGGATTTGTCAAATTGAAAAATTTCAAATTAATTTTTTTTTTATCAACATGAGAAAAAAAAATACCGCGTTTCTTTTTAGAATTTACACCAAGTTATTTTTTTAAATTATACGCGTTAATAATAATATGAAAAAAAAGGGAAAAAAATTATTTTACAATCAAGTACTAAAGGATATATAAGTTCAGTATTTTATGCTAATAATTTTTATATAAAAAGTTTCCTGTGAAAAATCTTTTAAAAAATTCTTAAACTTGTTTATAAAGAATCTTTGGTAAAAAAAATTTAAGAATCTTTAACAAATAATTTTTTTTTAAAGAATCTTTTATGAAAAAAATTTGCTATGCACAGAATTTTCTTGGGATGAATTTATTATAAAAATTGTAAGAGAATTTTTATTTTATAAAAATAGCTTTTCAATGAACAATTATTTGAATATTGATATTTTAATATTAGCACTTTTGTAATGTTAGATAAATAATAATAAATTTTAAATTATAAAGTAAAAATAATTTTTTATAAATTTTGTCCTTCCCGATTCTTTCCGTCGGCAATGAAAAAATTAATTCTTGTATTGTAAAATAATTTTTTTACTTTATTTAATCTATTTAATTCTTGCTTTAATTGAATTATTTTCGATTTTCTTCCTTTTTCAAAGAGGGTAGAAAAAACACTTTCAGGAGGAATTTTTCTTCATTTATAAAATAGACAAACATAATTTATTTATTTAAAAATGTTAATAAAAATTACAATTATTAATTATATAATATTAATTGCTGATAGTAATTTTTGTTTCGGTGAATGTAAAGTAAAAATAGTTTTTTACGGTAGAATTACATGAACTACCGTGCCTTGATTAGAGAAATTTTTCAAATCATCAATAACTACAAAATATCATCATAATTTGCTTTTATTTATTTAAAGTTACGTAATGATTTTTTGTTGTCAACTAAGCCAATTGTTTTTTTTTTAAGCCATTGCTTAAAGTGCACAAAGTGAATAAGTAAAAACCGTGAAGTACAATTATTTTTTAATAAAATTTTATTTTTAAATTATATTTTTTTAATTTTAAATTAAAATTATAAACAAATAAATAAATTAAACAAAAAATTAATAACAGTGTTGAATAATTAAATAAAATTTATGATTGTAATTAATTTTTTAAGTAGAAAACAAATAATAAAAACGAATAACAAAATAAATATATAAATACAATAAATAAAGTATATTTATTAATATAAACAATTAAATAAAATGAATTTTTTATTATTAAAATTGAAATTTAATTCCACTTGAAAAGAATTACGAAACTAATTATTCAATAAAAAAATAAAAATGTAAATAGTCCAATAACAATACAACAATAATTTGAAAATATACAAAATGTGTAAACAACAATCACAGGTGAAATTCGTAAAAATCAACACGAAAATTGTACAAATACAAAAAAATAAACACACCCTTAGATAACAACAAAGCAAAAAAAGAAGTTTTTTTTTTTGAAAAATTGACCAATTAATAATTTTTAATAAAACGTGAATTAAAAGAAGGAAGTATTGGGATTGTATATGATGAAGGGGTATGGGAAGAAGGGGTATGAGGACACAATGTAAGTGCATAAAGAATAAAAGATGAATAGGAAAAAAATTTTAATTTTTTTTGTAAAACTCACGCAGACCGAAGGGCTCCCGATGTGCAGGGGCGTCTCGACGTGTCTCTCCGTCGGGGTTGCTTTGGAACGTCTGCTCTCGGAGTTCTCCCCGCCACTTCCATTCGTCGTGCACCCCCACCCCACCTTGTCGTGGTGAGCAACCCCCTTCCCCCGCTTAGGGGGTAAAAAGATCCGGAGAACATTTTACGCGCAGACGCCCTTGCCATGGTTCCTAGGATTGGCGGCCGTGCGTCAGCCCCCACAGTTCTCCGCGCCGCCACACCACTACCCTCGCTGTCATTTTCCACCCCCCACCCACCCCCGACCCTTTAACCCACCCTTCCCACCCCCCCCCGTTACCCACCGCCGCTCATCGTCCCGCAACAACCCCCAGGAATAGGAAGAGAGCCAGGTATAGCCTGTATAATGCCGCGACGGTCGATGCTGCACGGTATTTCTGGCCCCAGGTCGATAGCTCACCTGTAACCTGTGACGCTCGGCTGCCAACCTCGTATACAAAACGCAAAGAAACAAAACGCGATAGTACAATGACAAGAGTTACCCTTCAAAATTCCTTATCAAATTTCAATGGAATTTGGTGTCAACGAATTTTTGGGGTACTTTTTTGACTGTAACTATCAAAGGGTTGTATTATTAATGATTCCCCCCCCCCTTTTTTTTGGTAAAATTTGTTTTGGAGGTAACTACAAATTTGATAGTGAACTTTACGGGAAATAAATACTGATATTTTTTTATAAAGTTTGTCAAAATACTTCTGAGAAAAGTAGGAATATAACGTTTTTGAGTTACAGTATGAAACTTAATTTTGTAGTCAAATTGTACTGTAGAATTATATAGAACAAGATTTTTGTAGTTTGTAAAATTTTATAAAATTCCTGTCGAATTCTATACGGTACAATATTTTGGTAATTTGTAGAATTTGTAGAATTTTTGTGTTTGTGAAATTTGGTAAAAATATCTATAGTACAATTTGACTATAGAATTCGCGGTTTTTCTACTAATTGTAAGAATAAGAACTTTTCGGAAGAAAAATTTAACAATTTTAAACTAATATTTTTATTGTAAAACAGTTCAAATCTGACGTATAAAAATTACCAATTTTTAGTAGAAAACTACGAATTTTGTAGTCAAATTGTACTATAGAATTCATTAGTACAATATTTTTATAATTTGTAGAATTTGCGAAATTTTTTGTTAAAGTCTACAGTACAAATTTCGGTAATTTGTAGAGTTCGTAGAATTTATGCATTTGGAAGATTTGCTAAATATAACTATAGTACAATTGGAGTACAGAGTTCGCACTATTTTCTTCTGAAAATAAGCAATTTTCAAATGAGAGTTTTAATGAATTTAAATTAGTACCTTTTCTAATAAAACTAGTCTAAATATTCCATATAATAGTTACCAGTCTTTCTAGTACAGTCAAATTGTACTATTAATTTACAGTACTATCGCACTATTTATATCTAAGATAGTCAAAATTTTCTATTCAAGAATTACATATAATAATTTTTTGGAGTTCCATACCAAAATTGCTAATTTTTAGTAGAAAACTAAGAATTTTGTAGTCAAATTGTACTATATAGAATTCTTTAATACAAGATTTTTGTAGTTTGTAGAATTTGTAAAATTCGTGTCGAATTCTACAATACAAAATTTCGGTAATTTGTAGAATTTGTTGAATTTTTTATTTGGGTAAAAATATCTATAGTACAATTTGACTATAGAATTCGCGGTTTTTCTACTTTGTAAGAATAAGAACTTTTTGGAAGAAAAATTTAACAATTTGGAACTAATACTTTTATTGTAAAACAGTTCAAATCTGACGTATCAAAATTGCCAATTTTTAGTAGAAAATTACGAATTTTGTAGTCAAATTGTACTATAGAATTCTTTAGTACAAGATTTTTATAATTTGTAGAATTTGCGAAATTTCTTGTTAAAGTCTACAGTACAAATTTCGGTAATTTGTAGAGTTCGTAGAATTTATGCATTTGGAAGATTTGCTAAAAATAACTATAGTACAATTTGACTACAGAGTTTACTATTTTATTCTGAAAATAAGTAATTTTCAACTGAGAGTTTTTTAATGAATTTAAATTAGTACCTTTTCTAATAAAACTAGTCTAAATATTTCATTTAATAATTACTAGTCTTTCTAGTACAGTCAAATTGTACTATTAATTTACAGTACTGTCGCACTATTTATATCTAAGATAGTCAAAATTTTCTATTCAAGAATTACATATAATAATTTTTTGGAGTTCCATACCAAAATTGCTAATTTTTAGTAGAAAACTAAGAATTTTGTAGTCAAATTGTACTATATAGAATTCTTTAGTACAAGATTTTTGTAGTTTGTAGAATTTGTAAAAT